CAAAGCAGTGAGAGAGAGACAGACAAAGGCTAACATTACCCTTCTTCCAGTCTACTCTCTAGAGCATGTCAGAAATGGAGTACATACGATCTAATGTATGGTGGTGGTGACTGGGAGAAGCATGTACAAGTATTAATCATTTTGCAACAAAAGCAGTAAGGTAAGTAAAAACTAACTATTTCAAAGTAAACATGCTTGTGAGTGCAAAAGCAATTCTGCAAACTGATACTTCAAGTCACACCAGTCTTTCTTCTGAAAGGAAGAGATGACCTGTTAGGAAAATGGTGTGAAGACGCCACCCCATCTTAAAATAGCCAAAAGCAAAACAAATTATAACAATAGTAACAATGACACTGGGTTCATAAAACATTAAACAAAAATTAATTTTAGCAACAGTGTCTGTTATATGTCCGGTTCCCTTCTACAGTTGGTGTGATCAACAAAACCAAGTCCCTGTCCTTGGGCAATTGATACTCAAAATGAAGATGCAACCCTGGTCTCAAAGAAAATTCTCAATAATATTTGTTACTTGAAGATGCTCACTGTCCCAAAGAAATGAATTCTAGACAAAAAGAAAGTGCTTTATTAGGGAGTTACTTGAAATTTCTAAACTATGCAACATACCATATTCCAATTAAATACTTATGCTATATTATGAGTAAAGTTTAAGTTAAAACTGTAACTTCTGACACCAGTTAATTAGCTGTCATTGACAAAGAGCCCTTAATTGGAAGCCAGTAGGAATTCTTCAATATGGAAGACTAAATATTAATTTCTCTATTCTCTTACAAAACCACACTAGAGTGACAACTAATTCAAGTCTTATAAACCCACACGGAAGATCAAATGGGAGACACAATACTATCAGACTAAGAAGAGTCATTTTATTCAGAAATGAAAAAAAACAGGTAAGCATCAGGTGACAGACCCAGCTGGGTTTCAGTATTCTCTGCTCCGAAGGCCCACAGTGGGGTATAAGCGAACAAGGAAAGTTCTGGAATGAAGGCATGGGTACCACAGAGGGTGGGGGTCCCCAGGTGAAGCAACAGCAGGAGGACTGGTGCAGAGTCTATGGTGAGAGCACTGAAAGCCTCGGCTCCCTCCCCGCCCAGGCAGCTGCTCCTCTCCTGCTTCTATCAAAGTCAGGTTTTATCACTGAAACAGGAAGCTGTAAGGTTTAAGATGCCTTAGACGAGCAGGGGTACCTTACCCAAAAAAGGAGGATTAAGTGGAAGTCTGCAGACTAGACAGCCAACTCAGTGAGGACAGGGACTCACCGTTGGGTTTGGTCACTGCTGGACCCCACTATCTACAATGGTGCCTGGCACATGGAAGGCACTTAAATACACAACAGGAGTTTAGTAGATGAGTTTCTTTTGATCTCCAAGAAAGTAAAACATCAAAAAAAAAATCAAGAACAAAAGGAGAGAAAAATATGTAAAATCTGGATGTCAATCCAGAAGATTCAACATCTAACTAAAAGGAACACCTAGAAAGAATAGAGAAAACCAGGGAGGGGGGTGGACTGCAAAGAAATAATGCAGGACATTTTGCAGAACTGAAGTTTCCAGGTTGGAAGTGCCCGCCAACTGTCTAGCACCAAAATAAAAAAATGCAATTTCAAAATACCAGAAACAAAAAAATTCTAAAATATCCAGGGTATCTTAAGCAGATAGATCTAAAGAATCAAAAATGAGAATGGATTAAGACTTCAATAGCAATCCTCAAGCAAAAACACAGTGGAATACTGCCTTCTAAACCCTGTTGGAAGTGCTTCCTAACATACAATTCTACTCGTGGCCAAAAGAACAATCAAGTGTAAGAACAAAGGTGCAATAAAGACATTTTTAGACAGATGAGGGTCTCAGAATTCACCTCCCACTATCCTCTTTCCCCTCCTACTCCCCACAAAAAAAAAAAAAAAAAAAAAAAAAGAATGTACTCTACTAAACTAGTGAAAAAAAGGAAAAAAAGTCAGTCTCTGCATTTAGGACACAAGCAATGCAGCACAGAGCACAGGCTGGTGCATGCCCAGGACGAGAGCAGAAGTCCCGCCATGACAGCTGCGCGCAGGCCTACGGAGAACGAGCTAAGGTTGTAGTAAGAGGACAGAGGACACCACCAGGAGGAATAGTTAAAATAAATGCATAAGTTAAAAAGCCCCTGCTGGGTTTCCATGTCCAACCAAACCAAGGACGTTTCATTTGGAGAGTTTGAAAGATCAAGTGAGCATCATTTTGCAATTAACTCTAGGCAAAACAAGAGTTAAGTGAAAAAAAGAAACGTAATGATAAAATATTGCATGGCTTAAATAGGACTCTTGCTATCATAATCAATACTGATATGTCCTAAAATTGGTAAAAAGCTACATAGGAGAATATGCAGAGAAAAAGTATAAGGTGGGAGGAGGGTGTTAAAAATTAAACCTTCACCACCCAAATCAGAAAGTCAATGGATCATGATTAAAAATGGTAACTCAAGCAAGAGTCATATAAGCACAGAATTTAAAAAGAGAGGTAGACAGCAAAACTAGAACAGATAAAAAATTTCGTAAACTGCATCAGGGTAATAAGTGGGCAGGGGAGGATGGGGTGGGAATCTGCTATTTTCCTTAAAACATCTATGAGACTAATACTTTCTAAACTATAGACATGTTGCTTTATAAAACACGTATCAAAAAATGTTTTCACCCAGTGAACAACCTATTCTAATCCATTACTTGTTACCTCATAATGGGATTACGGATTAAGGATCTCACAGTAAAAGAAGATTTAGATTTATATACAAATTAAATAAAAGTAATTTTGGATATGAAAAGCTAGTTCTCTGCTTAAACCCTTTTACGTGAAATTTAAATGAATTACACTATGAATAAAACTGCAATTCACGTCCTCATGATCTCACCATTCTGCTGGAGCCCCTGCCAAGGGAAGGAAAACTAATCAGGTATCTAGCCTAAAATCTCAAAAGGAATCACCAATCACGATTCTTTTTAAATTACATCACATGTTACATCACGTTATAGTAACAAAGCCTCTCCTCTATTTTTTAAACCCACCTGGTATGTAAATCTACCCCGTGTGCAAACGCACTAGAGCAGAGGTGGACAAACTTATGGCCCAAAACCATCCTGCCCCTGGTTTTGCCATGCCCACCAACTACAAATGGTTTTTAACTTTTTTTTTAAATGGTTAAAAAAAAAATCAAAAACAGAATATATTTCTTGACACATGGGGAAAAAAACAAAATCACATGAAACTCAGATCTCTGTCCACAGATAAAGATTTACCAGAACACAGCCTCGTTCGCTCACATTTGCACCTGCGGCTGCCTTCTAGTGATGCAGAGTGTACGGCCCACGAAGCCTAGAGTATTGACTATCTGGTCCCTTTCAGAAAGGGTTTGTTGACTCTTGAACTAAAGGACTCTAATTCTGAATTCCATTTGAACTGTATTCCAAATGAAATTGAGCCAAATTCATATAATAAAATACACATATAGAGTCCTTGCATTGGGGATGTTTGACTGAGGACACTTAGGGAAGGCCTACACAACCCTTGAGAAAGGAAAAGTGCAGAGGGATGTAATGGTCTGCTCGGGGGCACTCAGGAAAATGGGAACAGAATGAAGACGAGGGTCTCGGTGCTGAGATGGTTGTTCTCTTAGACACACATCTGTCATCGGTCAAAGTTTTAACCCTAACACTCCTTTGTTCCGACTCCACTTCAACTTCCTGTTACTGAATCGCTTATTTCATTTCAGTTAAAATGTTAACATGCTTTTTAGTTTGGCCTTCCCCATATATTTAAAACAGATTTCTGTTCATACTTACTGCTGACTGTGCCAATAAAGCAGCACACAATGTGGTTAAGGACAGTCTTTGGTGTCAGGGAGGCTCAGGCCCTGGCTTTGCTTCCAAGGGTCACTCTGCCCTCTCATAGTCCTCTGAACTTCTCCAAACTTCACTTCTACTTCTCTCGTTCTAAAAATGAGGGCAGTACCTGCCTCAGATGAGCACGGTTAGACAGGACAACGAAAAATGTCAAGAACTTAATGTACTGACTGTTGGAATCAAGAACTCGAGAAACGTGACCTATTATACTTTGTCTTATGTCCAAGTATTTTATAGGCATTCCTTGTCCTTGAAGAACTTGATAGGCAGTGTTCTCCGACATCAGTGTGCATAACAATCACACTGCTACACTTGTCAATGCAGACTACCTCGGCCCTACTCCCAGCTACCCTGACTCTTTCATCTGGAAGGGGCGGGAATCTCCATATTCAAGCTCAAGTGTGATTTGGATGCATGTCATCCACGGAATAGAAATAAAATGTTCCTAGATAATGAAACAGATACCAAGAGGTTAAGACAAGCAAAAGCCTAAATGATCACAGCCTTAAGAACTAGCCTACTTCATCAAAACAGCAAAAGAGCTGAGTACAGGCATTCCTTTTGCTTGTATTTCCTGCCACAACTGTCTTGATTTTTTTTTTTAAACTTGAACTGATGTTGGGCTCCATATGTTAAATAATGTTCAATATCAAGATTATTATTTCCTAGTTTACAAAGGTTAGGACTTCCATTATACATCCAAGTAAACATTTAGGGAACTCCAAAGATCATACTCAGGTCTCGGTGGAACCCCAGTTTTCTACCTTGGAATTCAGCCACACAACCCTGTAACCATCCCCAGGGAATGTACGACTGACCCATTTTACTTACTGGTACATCTGTAAACAGAAAGAAAAAAATAGAAAAATAATACACATCCCTACAACACAAACTAAAAGAAGCTGAAAATCTGGTTAGAAACAGGCACAAAACTAAATATATTCTACACTGAGAAACCCTGCTGTGTAAACACATGAACTGAACCGCATGCAACAGCCGCACCTGAGGGTAAGGGTTCTCAGTTTAAGTGTCTATTTCAAAACCGGCAACAAACACAGAGTGGACAGCGGCAGGAGTGTGAGGGGGTAGGTGGGGGGTGCACGGTTACCTTGCTCCAGTCTAAAGCACAGGGAACGCCTTGCTGCTTCCATCTCCGGAGTCGGATTATCTAGGACATGTCTACACCACTGCAAAGGGCTCAGGGATTTCTCTGATGACGGGAATGTCTTTGAAGAGCCAACGTATAACCTTAAAAAAAGAAATCTACATTATAGGTATTATTTAGCTAGATAGAGATTACCTCTCTTCTACTTGAGAAAAATAACATGTATTTAACAGTTTCTATCAAAACAGAACGCACATTTGATTACTACAAGTTCCAAAATCATTTTTAACAGGCAAATATCCCCTAGAAGAATATGACATTTTCTGTTGCATGGTGGCACGGACTTCAAAAAACCATGGAACTGTATGTCTCAGAAAGTCGGGGATCTGGGGCTCTTGAGACCGAACTGACCTTGAAGGGGCAACGTGATGACCTGACCACCTCACTTACATTTTAGAAATGAACACTTTCATCTGACAACAGACTCATATGTGAACTTGGGCTAATGTCTATAAACATGTTGTGGTAAACAAGGCAAATCTTATTTGCATTTTTCTAAAAATAAGTCTAAAAGTAGGTGAAAGTCAGCTGTTTGTGGATTGTCTCAACCCTTCAATAATCAGATACTTGCCCTGTCTCAGACCTATACTAAACTTAGCACGTGCTTCCTTCTCATTAAAGCCAAACAGCTTTCAAAGACACATAGTTGGGAAGAGTTCACTTTCAGCATCCGCACAATTACAAGGCAGTGGGCAGGATTCAAAATAACCCCCTGGGGCACTGCAAGTTAGAACAAAGGTTTTCTGTCACTAACTTACTGTGCTAAGGGAAATTTTAGAGTATTTTCAGTGATAGGGGTTCTACAATAGGGTTTATCTTGAGGATTAACCAGCAGTTGACTAAAAAAACGAAGGAAAAAAATTACAATCACAGACTCCATTAACTGACCTTGCTATATAAATCTGTGATCTAATTACAAATCTCATTAAAGTCATATTCCTTCAAACAAAGTTTACTGTAATTCTAGTGAGCACATATTCCTGAAATCACATACTTCATTATTCACTCTTGTACTGTTACAGTCTGGTCCACTACCTGTTAAGAGTAACTTATCCCAGATGGTTGAGGAATATACTACTTAGCCATTTACTCTTATAGTTCAGGGTCGGCAAACTTTTGCTATAAAGGGCCAGCTAGTAACTGGACATGCTTTGTGGCCAGTCTGTCACAACTACTCAGCCCTGCCACTGCAGCCCGAAGGGCATCACAGATGACGTATAAATGAGTATGGCTGTGTTCCTACAAACTTTATTTATGGACATTGAAAGCTGAATTTCCCATAATTTTCACATCACAAAATAATATTCTTTTGATTCTTTTCAATCATTTAAAAATGTGAAAATCTAGCTGGCAGCTACACCATCCCGGCAGTGGACCCAGCAGCCCACAGGACACAGTCTGCTGACTCCTGTTACAGACAAAGAGTCTAAAATATCTCTTTTAATCAATGTAGTAACAATCCTAATATATCATTCTTCCCTTAGAGTGTGGACCACAGTCCTGCCTTCATTAAGAATATGTTGGTGGGTTAAAAATTCATATTCCTGGGTCCCACTTTGGTCTACTGTGGCAAGATTATCGCCCACCTATGTAGATCCTTCTCTTTCTCCCTTCCTTGCTGTCAGACCCCTGAACTGAAGAGCCCTCTCTAGACCTCTGTCCAGTACCAGAGAGCTCTCTCTAGACCCCACAAGTGAAGGTTAGTCTAGGCCAGTTGTTCTCAATCTTTGATGCATCAAAATCTTACAGGATTTGTTAAAACACGAAGTGCTAACACCTGACTGCAGGCAGCCCTAACCTACCCGACTTGGTTTGGGGTAAGGTCAAAGAATCTGAATGTCTAACAAGTTCCCAGGTGATGCTGATACTGCTCTCTGGAGATCACACCTTGAGATGGATGCACTGGGCTGAGCCAGTCCTGGTAAGCCCATTAATCCCATTTGCCCAATGACTGTTTCAGGCATAAGCCCTAGACACAATCCTAGCCAATAAAAGCTAAGGGGAAATATTCTGATGGGCATGTGAGCAAGTTTCTCCTCATGTTTAAAGGGGTCACAAAAGACCCAATTATATGCTGCCTACAACAAGTGCTCTTCAAATGTAAACATGTGGGTTAAAAGTAAAAGGATGGAGCACTGCAAAACAAACATGACCCACAAAGAGAAGCCCAGGCCCAGAACATTTCACTACTGAACTCTGCCAAATATTTAAAGAAGAATATCAATTCTTAACAAATTCTTCTGGAAAAAAAAAAAACACAGCCTATGAGTTCAGCATAGCTATGAAACCTGATACCAAAACCAGACACAGACATTAAAAGGAAAGAAACTAAAGACCACCCCTCATGAACACAGAAGCAAAAGGTCTGAATAGTTTAGCAAATTCAGTACAACCATATATGAAAGAGATGCTTCGTCATTACCAAGGGGGGTTTATCCCGGGAATGGAAGGGTTGGTTTAACATTCAACCGTCAGTGTAACTTACCACATATACTGAAATAGAAAAGCCATATGATAATCTCAACATACAACGGAAAAAACATATGGCATCCATTCCTGATAAAAACTCTCAGCAAATCAGAAATAGGAGGAAATATCCTCAGCCTTAGTAAAGGCATCTACAAAAACAGCATCCTTAACGGTGGAAGACTGAACGCTTTTCCCCTAATACCAGGAACAATACAAGATCTGCAGGTTCTCATCAGTACAATTAGGCAATAAATAAAAACATTTAGACTAGAAAGAAGCAAGTAAATCTGTCTTTATTCACAGATGAGATGATCATCTATGTAAAAAAATTTGAAAATGCTACAAAAGATACTAGAATAAATGAGTTTTGTAACAAGATTATAGGATAACAGATCAAAGGACAGAAGTATTTTTATGTTAGCAACATTCAGTATTTTTGAAATTTCACTTCACATGTACCACAGCATAAAAAAATAAGATGCCTGAGGATTAATCTGACAAAAGATGTTAAGACCTGTATACTAACAACTAC